CTAATAAAAGAACTTTAAAATACAAAAACAAAATTTTATGGAACTAAAAAAGAGTAATAGCCCTATCTATAAATAAAGTCAGAAGTTTCAGAATTCCCTCTCAATGGCTGATGGAACCAGTAGAAAACTAGTAAGGACATAGAAGACTTGAACAATGCTATCAAACAACCTGACCTAACTATCATTTAAAGAATATACAGTCAACAAGATAAGGATAAACATTCTTTTTAGGTACACAAAAACATTTACCATTATAGAACATATTCTGACCCATAAAACAAGACAATAAATTTAAAAGGACACAGCTCATATCAAGTTTTCTCTTACCATAATGAAATCAAACCAGCTATCACCAGTATTTAAGTAAAGACTGACCATGTAATAATTAATTGTTGATGTTGGGTGATGAGTACAATGGGGGATCCCCCATGCTATTCTTTCTACTTTTGTATATGTTTTAAAATTTCTACAATAAAATGTAAAAGAAAACGAGAGCAAACTTATTATTAGCACATGCAAAGAAAACAATTTAGGATCATAAATGTCCATACTTGGAAATTCAATATAGGACATCTGCTTTGGAAAGTGATTTGGCAATTTCTTAACAAGATAAACATACACTTAGCATATGTCCCTGCAATTCCACTCCTCAATATTTGCCCAAGAGAAATAAAAATTTATGCTCACATGAAAAGTAGTTTTATCATCAGATTTTGAAAAGAAACCAAATGTCCTTCAACAAATAAATGGATAAACAAACTGTAGTACACTGATGTAATGCACTACTTAGTACTTAAAAGGAATAAACTACTGATATACTTAACAACATCGAGAAATCTTATTTCTATTTCTTACTCAAAATGCCATATTCTTCTACACAGGTAGTTTTCAAAACCAACAGCACTAGCATTACCTTAAAACTTATTAAAATATAAACTTGCAGGCTACATGCCAAACCTAATGAATCAGAAACCCTGGGTGTAGGGCTCTGCAATCCATGTTTTAACAAATCCGCCAGGTGATTCTGATACACCCTAAAGTTTGAGAACCACTGCTCTGCACCACTATATCCAAGAAGGTGAGACTCTCTGGAGTAAAGCCTGGCATCAGCAGTTTTATAAAGTAACACAAGGTTACTAAACCAGCAGCTGGGTTTGAAACTCTCTGCACTATGCCACATGTTTCCATTCCTCATAATCATTGGAACATGTTGCTGTATTCTCTCTGGCTGTTTGAATCCCCAAGTCATTGGGTTGGGATTCAAAAGTGGCCCCTCTATCTGACTTTCTTCCTCTCAGAACTCAAATATTGACTTCACAGTATTTAGAAGCAGTCTATGACTCAAAATACACACCCTAATTTAGAAGCTGGATACTTCTACCCTTAGCCCACACTTTGCCAGTTTTCTCCAATCAGCTCCTTTTCCATGTGTTGAGGTTCAACCATAACAAATCACCAATAAATTCTTTTTGAGCCTATAAAAATAGCAATTTCATATGGTCTGCACTAGCTCTTTGAGGGAGCCTTTGTTTTTCATTTGTATGTTTACATTTATATATCTACTTTTAGTGCTTACCAGTTGGTATATCCTATATATATTAGTTGAAAAAAAAAAAAAAAGACTCCACGTCTCTGCCAGGAAGCAAAGAGAGGGTGTGGTGATTATTGTGAAGAAAACGGCCTACAGCAAAGTCAAGCAAGTAACATACATATTTTCCACCGAACGAAAATTTCTAAGAACCAAAATGTTGTTGAAACAAATTGCTGATTCAGGGTCTAAAATAAAATACCAAACTAAAAAAAAAAATAAATTTAAAAAGAGAAATCCGGCCAGGTGCAGTGGCTCACTTTGGTTCAAGTGCACTGTAATCCCTGCACTTTGGGAGGCGGAGATGAGATGATTGCCTTAGCCTAGGGCTTCAAGAGTAGCCTGGGCAACCTGCAAAACCTCGTCTTTACAATAAAAATAAAAATAAAGATGAGTTGGGCTGGTGGCATGTGCCTATGGTTCCAGCTACTTGGAACACTGAGGTGGAGGGATGGCCTGAGACCAGCAGGAGAAGGCTGTGGTAGTCGTGTGTCGCTCTACTCCAGCCTGGGAACAGAGTGAGCCTCTGATTCAAAAAAAAAAAAGAATCCCCTAAATGGAAACAACCAAACTTATAATCAGAACTTGGTTATTTAAAACATGAATATTTATAATATAGAAAAAGCACTTTTGAAAATAGAAACTAAGTTTATTGAGAATTTGTGCTGAGAGAAAGATGAAGATCACTAAAAAAAGGGACCTCTTTTGGTTTTGATAATTTAAAAGTTATTTATCTTCTCGGTGCTAGTTTTAAATATATCTTTTTTTGAAGTGTTGGATCAGTGTCCTACTGATGAATCTATACACTCTTAGCCTAATCTATATTATTGAGAACAGGTCATCTTTGTTCCCTTTCTAGCATTGACAAGTCTAAGAATTAACTTTGGCTATCTTCCTAAATTTCTCTATGTGATATTCTTGCCTATAAGTCAGAACTAAATAATAATAATTGATGTCATACCACAAATACACGTGTGGCAAGTTTCCTTGTGTTATTTCATAATATTAGCTAATGTCAGTTCAGTCTAAAATTTTGGAGATGTAAAGAGCCTGAAGATAGATTCTGTAGCCCAACTCTTTCATTTTGTAAGGGAAGAAATTAAGGTCCCCAAGAAGTCATGATAACTTGCCCCTAGTCCTACTGTTGAGAGTGATAGAACTGGAAATAGAATTCTGGTTTTCCAGACTGCTAGCATGATGTTCTTTTTACAAAAACTGCAGTACATTGGAAACTTGAGAGAGAAAGAAAGAGAGGGAGGGAGAAGTGGGAGGAGGAGGAAGAGGAAGAGGAGAGAGAGAGAGAGAGAGAAAGGAAATGAATTATGAATGAAATAGTGTACTTTGGGAATATAGTTAAAAATCAAATTAGAAAGAAAGTACCAATGTTTCATAGAACATTCTGAACAAGAAAATCTATTGCAATCTCAAGTGACATCTCCTTAATTAAATTTCTCAGTAAAATTGTATAGGGTTAGAAAATCTCACAGCACTACAACCAAATATACGTCATAATGACCAAACTTAGGAGTTGAGATCCTCAAAATGCTTGTTGAATGAGAGTTCCAGCTACTTGGAAAGCCGAGGCGGAAGGATCGCCGGAGCCCAGCAGGTCAAAGCTGTGGTGGCTGGGAGCGTGCCACTGCACTCCAGCCTGGGCAACAGAGTGAGACTCCAACTCAAAAAAAAGAATGATGAGCTCTCCCAACTACTGAGCTCCACACCCCACTGCACTGCAAGAGTGTTAAGGAACCCCTCACTTTCCTAAGAGATAGGGAATGCACTTCCACTCCTGCTCTTGGTCCCAAATTAAATAAACATTAGTTCCTTCTAAAATCTTGAAAGATTACTAAACCAAACCACGAAAACACCCAATTACAGACAACAATGGCTTTTACAATGGCAAATATTAGTAGAAAACTTCATCTATAATTTCCTCTAAAGGATATGATTATCACACAGATTAAACAAGACCCAAAGAAAATAAACACTTCAAACTGACAGGAGCCTATTGGAGTAAATCTGCAGAAACACTAAGTGATCAATTAGTCTAAAACTGTGAAAATTACACTGCAATTCAAAGCTCTCATAGGTCAGTCAGGAACTGAAAGAGTATTCCAAAACAGACAGTGAACCAACTGTGACATACAACAGGAAACAGGCCAGTCTTTTAAGAGGATGCTGAAACAAGTTCATATAAAGCACACTTGAAATTTTCAAATCAATTTAAGCTTCTTCCTTCAATCTACTCTATTTTTTCTAACATCAAAAGAATCAGATTTTGTGACTTAAAAGAAAGCTCTCTCTGTCTAGATTTTTCACACTTAAATATTTTTACAGTCAAACAAAGAAATACCTAGGAACATGAAAGCTCAATCTCCAAAATAACAACTGACTTGAAACTTGATAGTAATTCAAAGCCTGAAATGCAATAATAATCTTAATTACAGTTGATTTAAATAATTCCTTTGTTTTGAGTGAATAGCCTAGATTAGCTAGGATTTTAGCACATACTATCTAAACCAGTCTTAAAAAATGGAAAAATATTTTTAAAAAATTAAACAAAATTAATTAAAACTTGCTTCTTTTGTTTTTAAAAAGTTCCAAAGTAAGACTGCAAACAACCATTTTCAGGATTATTGATTACATATATCAGTCTATATTGTGTGCTAAATTACTATGCAGTAGGTTATTTTAGTGTTATGGGAAAAATAAAAATAAAATCTGTTCTTTAGCATAAAAAGTATCTTATTTAAAAACTTAATTCATTTTCATTAAAAGTATTTCTATAAAAATTCATTAACTAAAAAGTGCTTATTTTATCTGATCAACCCTTAAATGAATAAGTCACTTTGTATTTACATTTCAAGTCTAATGAATTCCAAAACAAATTTGCCCTCCTTGGCTTCTTATCTGCCCACATTTTCTAAACAGCACAAAGCTGAAAACAGTATGTATTGGATTCACTTCATGTCCCAATATTCACACTGGAAATCCATTAAAGGAATCACTAAGAATGTAAAACCATCAATAAAGTGTTGATTTCTGCTATATTTAGGCTTCTTCTCATTTGTCCTTATCTTTATTCCTAGGAGAAAGAAAATATTATTCAAAGTGGCACAAATGTCTCCTAGGTCAAGTGACCATATATAAACGATTATCCAAACTGGGCTACCCTTGCAAGTAGAAGGGTATGCTATAAATAATTAGGCCAGCTGCAAACTGGGTTGTCTCAGGCAGATCCAGACATGTGGTAACCTTACTCCACGGAGTCCAAGTGAGAGCATTTCATGCTTTCTTGAGGCCGCTTGAGGGTCTCGAAAAAGTCCTTGATGAAAAGGGCCAGTTTGCTCCAAGTCTCTGTCCCGTGTTCTACCTGTTCCTACCTTCCACAGCACCAAACGCCCTCACTTACCCGACCACCATGTCCTTGGGTCCAGCAGTTACAGTGCAGATCCCATCCTCACAGTGTTTCCCCACCAGGCTGTGGGCATGCAGGTGGATATTTTTTCCATTTGTGACCAACTGAACAATAACCTTTGCTGGTCCCACATAATTGCAGATCTATGTAAGAAGCACATTTCAAAAGTTAGCACATCTGACTATAGAGTAACATGGAAAAATGTTTATGATAAACCAGTAAGTATAAAGAGTATGATACAAGATTATATATGTCTGATTATACATGATTAAGGCTCTGCTATTAAAAGTATATGATCAACAAATGACAGAATGGAAATACATTAAAATGTTAATGGTGGTTGTTTTGTGAAGTAGGAAGATATACTCTAGGAAACAGGCCATTTAAAATTTGATATGTATTGTTAAAGTTGGAGCAGCACATCTTAGAGGATGCTGTATTGCCATGAAGCCTTCCTTTCCTACTAAACAATAACATGTTTTCCTTTGCACCATTATCTCAATTTTTGGTCACAATGAAATAGGTAATGAAATACATAAAATAATTGCAATAGCTTGTTTGACATAGGTAACTCCATTTTGTTAAAATTCTCCATCTTAGCTGCCTGTTTGATCTAACAATAACCTCCCAATGTATACGTGTGATTGTTGTAACGTTTCCATGATCACAGACCCATAGCTTTGTTCCCCTGAGCTATTCACACTGACCGTTCTTGCTGACCATTTGAAAACTCCCTAGCCACAAGTTCCATGTAATTGTATGCCTTGTTAATTGAAATCCAAGAGATTGTTCCTTTCATTTTTAGTTCCTTGTACCCTCACCCCCTCCTGCTATGTAGCCCACTTGTGGATTTTGCCTTTATAGGCTTCTTGCTGATTCCACTCAGTGTCAAGAGCTTCTTGGCCTACTATTGACTGTGCACTAATAAAGGACTCTTAATTTGAACTTGGCATGCTGGTGTGTCCCCTTCTCACAACTCGGTCATAACAGCAAAAGCTGTGTAAATGATTGGTGAGACAAGGTTTGATGACTGATGAAAATCAAGGGGAGGAGGGAGGAAAGCAGAAATAGTACATTCTAACTCTCTGCCATGTGATTAGACAGGAGAAAGAGTCTTGTCCAGGGACCTAGCTCTGAAGGCTGGCTATGCATACTCAAGTCCAAGGACTTGGCTCTCATTTGTTAGAGTACTTGAGACTGAAGTAGCAGCCCTCTCTGAGTTCTGATACAATTAAGTTGCATATGCTCAGGTCAAGCAACTTTCTTCAGTTAAAAAAAAGGGTACCAAGTGAAAATTCTTAGATTTTACCCATTTTACTCATTTTATAAAATTAGATCTTGCTATTTAAGGTAATTTATCTTTTTTAATTGGTATGTCTTTAAAATGACAATAGTAATAAAAATCTGTACAAGCAGCCCACAGCTCAAAAAAAATTAAAAAAAGAAAGTAGATGGGAATCACACCTAGAGGTGGTTCTTTGCTGCAATTTCTTCAGATATAAGTTTGAGGAAGAACCTAAACTTGCTAATAAAACTTCTTGGAAAGAGACAGAATCCTTTTGAACCAGCCTACTTCTACTATAAACATCATCAAATAAATCCATATTCCACTGAAGCAGGGTTTGGTAAATTTCAGTGTGAATTTTTCCCAATCCAATCTGTCATCACATGAGTTGAGAAGTTGATCAGAGCTAGGATCATTCCCCAGAGAGTCTGGGAGGAGAGAAATTTCACCCTAGAACAAAGGATAGACTCCCCTCTAATCAACTGTCCAGCTCCACTGGGAACCTCAGGGCCTCTCTGCATGTACCTTGACTCAGAGTCGCCGCAAGTTTACTTCTAAATTCTCTAACCCTCCTTCCCAAAGAGTACAGCCAACAGCAGGAGTGGCCTCCAGTCCTTTCAGAGCAAGCTAATCACAAAGAGGGCTGAGGATTGAATTTGATTTTTAATGCCTCAAAGCACAAATCAATAACTTCTTAAGCAAGTACAGCACTTAAAAAAATCTCTCTGGGGTATAAGCAAATTATGAACTTAGTACTTTCCCTTTTCTAACAAGCAGAAAGCCTTTGCCCTTAAGTGCAGGGCAGGAAATGAGAAGTTCTGGGTTTGTTCCAAAGTTGGTTGCTATTCCTAGATTCTCCTGGATTTTTGATGCCAGTTCTGTGTCTTGGTGTCAACATCTGAAATCAGTCTTTGTTATCATGACATATCCCATAGGGGAGATATTGCTTCTTCAACAATAAATTAAGAGTGAAAGAGCACCAAATAAACCATGTAATTACATTTTAAGTAACACAGAGCACGGGAATGCAACAGGGCAAGGTGTGAGGTAATGCTTCACTTGGGTGAAATCAGGTAGGCTTTCCATTCAAACAGGATGCCAGAATAAATCCAGTGATTAAAGGTCAATCACTTCAAGTATTTGGATGCTTCAATGTTACCACTATGAGGGAATTAGTCATTGGTACTGAAGGAAAGAGGTGGGAGGTAGCCTCAAAAAGTACTCACATATTTTTTTGTACTATTACTTCATAACTGAAGTGTAGTAAGAATGAGGAACTGCATAGTCTGTGAAGTAAAGGAGCTGAAAAATTTGCCAGTGACTAATGCACTGTTTGATACATTTGAAAGAGTCCAAGTCAGCATGGCATCATCTGGTTTTTACACAGACCACAGGGCAACGGACAGGGGGCCCCTGGGTTTTGTGGACTTTCCAAAATACTGACTGAAAGAAGAAAGTTGAAGTGTGGAAACAGGGGAAAAAAAAGTGCTACTATTTGTAAGTTAGATGGCACATGAAGACATTGGCACTCTAATGTTAGGGAGACCACACTTCATAAAATGCCATGATGACTGACAGCTATTAGCAATCAATTCAGATATTAATTTATTCTATGGAGAATTTATTTCTTTTTATTCAGTCTTCCTTTTACTTCTTTGAATAGTGGTTCCCTTGGAAATTAAGTTTATAGAGAAATTAAGTTTATCTGTTAGAAAGGTTCTTCTCAAAGTGTTTGAACATTGCAAGCACTTAATAAACATTAATGGCTTTAACACAAGTTAAGCTTTCGATTAGAGTCAAGGAGACAAAGGTGACAAAACTAAGCAATCAGCTTCCCAGGGACACCGTGAAAGCGTGGACTTTAGGGGTAGACTAGCTGGATTTGAAGACAGTTCCACCATTTACAAGTTTTGGGCAGTGTTCACGTTCCTCATCTGTAAAATGGGGATAATAATAGGACCTCAAAGGGTTGTTGTAAGGAATAAATATACTAATGCACATAAAGTCTTTAGAACAGTGCCCATAAAATAAGAGCAGTATACAAAAGTTAACTATTATTTATTACTCCAATGACTCTTCTTTCTAGAGAACTTTAAATAATACAACTTTCCTGAGATAGTTTTAAAAACCCTGTCTAAAAGTAGATGGCTGGAATAAATGACTGATTCAGGCCACTTCTATTTCTAAGGGTTATTTTTGTGCCATCTTTAATTGGGATTTGTTAATTTTCTTATAATAATTATGGCATTATAGTCACAGCTATCGCTCTTGAGGATACTCAGGATTTCTTGGCATCCTAGGTGAAATTTAAGACTTTCTTCCAGGAGCTTTATGACTCAACACCTGCTGATGACCACAAGCTTGATCTGCTTTTTGAGTAAGATGTGGAAACCAAGGGTCTTGGATAATACCAATCTTAGTGACATCACTTCCTTTTATATAAAACAACTCTGTCACACTGTGGCAAAGTACACACTGGTTCTTCAAAGGTGGCTAAAAGAAGCAGTCTAGGAGTTGCTAGGAATCAGGATTTGAAACATTCAGCTTACTCTCAGGGTAAATTTGGCCAAATTACTTTGGCAGAATGCAGAGTCAATATGAATGTAAGACATGACACATGAGATAGTTCTTTCCTGCTTAGCTTTTCTTGTGAAGCGATGATGATGATGAAGAAGAAGAGGAAGAGGGAAAAACATTCACAGCTTTCAAATAAAATCTATCCTGACTTTAACTGTGTACCTGACTTTGTCCTCTACTGCATTAAGCAGCAGAACAATGTGGTGAAATCTAGGAGCCCTGAAACCAGGCTGCCACTTAACAGCTCTGGATTTCAGTTTCTCCATCTTTAAAATGAAAGGAATGAAACACTTGACTTTATGAGATTGTTTTTAGGAATAAATGAGTTAACACAGTGCTTAGCACCTAATGGGATTATCAATCACAAATATAAATCCTCTCTCCTGCTTAGTCTATTACCTTACTGATAACTATAATTTATTTATTATTAATTAATTAATTCCATGATTACTCATTAAGCCCCTTCTGTGTTCCACGTACTGCAGTAAATTAGGGCATGAAGTGATATATGGTGAGTACAAAACAGATATAATCCCTGTTCTTATGGGGAATTAAAGAGTGGTACTGATACTAATCCAATAATCTCACCAATAAATGTATAACTAAGAAGAACTTACAAAAGAGATATAGAATAGTGATGTGACCTGGATGGGAAGTCAGAGAATGCTTCCTGAGGGAGTAACAAAGGTGGAGATCTGAAAGGTGCAACCCGGGAAGGGAGCAATAGGGCTGAAGGGGTTGAGAGAGTATTCTTGGCAGGAACAGCACATGCAAAGGCACCGTGGTTAAGTCCTCCTTGGATCTACTCATCACTGTTTCCCAAAACTACATTCAAGTGGATGATCCCTGGGGTTGTTCCTTTTCTTCCCTATCAAGAATCACCCATTCTTCAAGGGGTTGACCTAAATCTGAATCTTCTATGACACCCTCCTCACCACTTTGGCCCACAAAGCTCTACTACTATACCTTTTTTAAAAAAATACGATCATACGAGATGAGGTAGGAAAACCATATGCAGCCTACTGTAATAGGATGGTAAAGTCAACTGGCAACTGAAGGGTTATTGTCATACTTCTCTTGCTTGTTAAATTCCCAGAGCCCATATATACATCTACTCCCTAATTTACTGAGTTTTAAGGAAGGGAAGGGAACATACTAACTTGCCAATTCCCCAACAGCTCTGTAGGGTCAGTAGAGCTACCTATTCCACAGCTGGAGGAACTGAGGCTCAGTAAAATGAAGGAAGTTGCCGTGGTTCCTAAACACGGAGTGATAGAATCC